TGGTAGGAAACAAGGCATAGGGTTCATACTTTCACTAGTGCAAATTCTCTCAACAATAATAACATAGATAGATCATATAACTATTCCTCAACATGCAACAAAGAGTCACTCCAAAGCCACTAATAGCGGAGAACAAACGAAGGGATTATGGTAGGGTACGAAACCACCTCAAAGTTATCCTTTCTGTTCTATCTATTCAAGAGTCTGTAGTAAAATAACACGAAGCTATTCTTTCCGTTCAATCTATCATAGAGTTCATACTAGAATAACACCTTAAGACACAAATCAATCAAAACCCTAATGTCACCTAGATACTCCATTGTCACCTCAAGTATCCGTGGGCATGATTATACGATATGCATCACACAATCTCAGAATCATCTATTCAACCAACACAAAGTACTTCAAAGAGTGCCCCAAAGTTTATACCGGAGAGTCAAGACGAAAACGTGTGCCAACCCCTATGCATAGGTTCATGGGCGGACCCCGAAAGTTGATCACCAAAACATACATCAAGTGGATCACATGAATATCTCATTGTCACCACAGATAAGCACGGCAAGACATACATAAAGTGTTCTCAAATCCTTAAAGACTCAATCCGATAAGATAACTTCAAGAGGAAAACTCAATTCATCACAAGAGAGTAGAGGGGGAGAAACATCATAAGATCCAACTGTAATAGCAAAGCTCGTGATACATCAAGATCGTGCCATAGAGAGAACACAAGAGAGAGATCAAACACATAGCTACTGGTACATACCCTCAGCCCCGAGGGTGAACTACTTCCTCCTCGTCATGGAGACTGCCGGGATGATGAAGATGGCCATCGGTGAGGGATTCCCCCTCCGGCAGGGTGCCGGAACGGGCTCCCGAGAGGTTTTTGGTGGCTACAGAGGCTTGCGGCGGCGGAACTCCCGATCTATCTTCTGTTTCGATGTTTTTAGGGTACATGGACTTATATAGGCGAAAGAAGTCGGTCGAGGGAGCCTCGAGGGGCCCCGGAGACAGGGGTGCGCCCAGGGGGGTGGGAGCACCCTCCTATCTCCTGGCTTCCTTGAACCTTCCCTGGCTTGAACTCCAAGTCTCCCGGATCATATCCTTTCCAAAAATCACGCTCCCGAAGGTTTCATTCCGTTTGGACTCCGTTTGATACTCCTTTTCTTCGAAATACTGAAACAGGCAATAAAACAGCAATATGGGTTGGGCCTCCGGTTAATAGGTTAGTCCCAAAAGTAATATAAAAGTGTATAATAAAGCCCGTAATCATTCAAAACAGATAATAAAATAGCATGAATGCTTCATAAATTAGAGATATGTTGGAGACGTATCACATAGCCTGATCTTGTAACTTGCTATTGTTACCTACCTATTTATCCTAAACTGCTTAGTATAGGCTGGTTAGAGACCCATCAAAGACCCCATGTTGACCCAACTGCCCCGCTGGATTATCAGAAGACCTGATCAACGGGATTGAAGACCAGGCCCCGGCACCGCACAACACTCCCCTTAGTTGTACGACACTGCATCGTTACTATCGAGTGACGAGGGTGATACCTCGTTAGCATTTCTGATGCTAACTCTGTGGAGTAGTTACCCGGTCGTGGTCATCGAGGGTGATTCCTCCTTTTCCACTTCCAATAACGACGTTGTCGTGCAACACCTCAAGTGTGAACCTCGAGGGTGATTTCCTCTTACATTCACCTTGATGTTTACATCAGGTGGGAATGCAACGAGGGTGATGCCTCGGGTTCCTTCTTGATGTGGTAGCCACACGGATTGCCTTTACATTACTATTGTTACTGATTAAAGTGGATAAAGACGGGTCGGCCCTGAGGGGTACCCCGCGAGCATGTGATGCGAGTGATGTGGAGTCGGGTTGACCTGGAAGGTGCCCGTTAGATAACTACGTGGCGTGGTCGGGCATTATTAGCCCTTGCCGCAAGTCCTCGAGATGGGGCAGCGGGGTCACATCGATCGTGAGTCTCTGCTCGTTACCACGCGCTCGTAATCCAGTTTGATTTGAATATTTGATCCGAGGGGCCTCTGGCCTGATAGCACTAACCATCACGTGGGCATAGTATGGGTGTTCTACGTTGTATGCATCAGCCGAAGCTTATAGACGTCATGCAACTGAGCGGCGCACGACGGGATGGACTGCGTAAGCACCTGCCCTTTTAAGGAGGTAGCTAGGTCTGCTCACAGGCCGCGTACACAACGTGCAGGAGTGCAAAGGGCGATGGGCCCGAGACCCCTGCGCTTAGGATGTAGACCGGCGTACTGACCTCTCTATTAAGCCTAGGTCGGGTTGCGGCATATCGTTTGGCCGAGGCTGGGCATGACCCAGTAAAGTGTATCCGGCCGGAGTTAAGGGAGCGTGGTGGGTAAGTTGGTGCACCCCTACAGGGAAGAAAACATCTATAGATAGCATGTCCTACGGTAACGGACACCCGGAGTTATACAACTAGAACTGGATACTGAATGCTGAGGCATGTAATGGATATGTGGCTCCGAGATCGCTTTCCCGCAGGGAGTCGGGGAAGGATCTCTGGGCATTATTTCTAGAACATGTTTGTTAAATATAAACTGTTATTCTATACTCTTCTGATTGCTGCAAGATGCTTGGAGCTGCTTGAAGATGCTAGTCTTTGATAGGCTAGGCTTTCTCCTTCTCTTCTGGCATTCTGCAGTTCAGTCCATAGATACTACCCATTTCATTGATATCGATGCATATGTAGTGTAGATCCTTGCTTGCGAGTACTTTGAATGAGTACTCACAGTTGCTTTGCTCCCCTTTTCTCACCTCCTTCCATTCTTCTCGGATGCTGCAACCAGATGGTGGAGCCCAGGATCTAGACGCCACCGCCGATGGCTACTACTACCCCGAGGGTGCCTACTACTACGTGATGGATGCCGACGACCAGGAGTAGTTAGGAGGCTCACAGGCAAGAGACCTTGCCTTTTCAATCGATGTTGCTTTTGTGCTAGCATTCTTAAGGAAAACTTGTTTAACTCATGTCTGTACTCAGATAATGTTGCTTCCGCTGACTCATTTGTATTCGAGCCCTCGAGGCCCCTGGCTTGTAATATAAAGTTTGTATTATTTTAATTTGTGTCTAGAGTTGTGTTGTGATATCTTCCCGTGAGTCCCTGATCTTGATCGTACACATTTGCAAGTATGATTAGTGTACGATTGAATCGGGGGCGTCACATCGGGAATCCATTGCGTCTGCCCAAAGGGCGCATGAATCCAGCGCTAGGGCAATTGTAGCTGCCTCGCCGGAGGCCGTGCGGTCCGTCTAGCATTCGAACGCGCTGGCGGACGCGCAACCCTCTGTTGGCGCGCCGAGCATCGAGACGCACAATGGGCCTCAACCGACGAGGCCATGGCACGGCGTGCCCGCCGTGCAAGGCACCGGGTACGGTAGGCGGCGGCGGCCCTCGCGGCGATGGACGTCGGCAAGGCGGAGTCACATTCTCCGCCGCATCAGTTCGGACACCGCAATCGCATAATGGTGGACGTCGGCGGCTCGTCCCTGGACGGATCCGCCTTCGGTCCGGCGTTCACCGGCACCTAACGGGTTCCGGGCTCTGACGAGGAAGAGTAGGGCATGGGAGACGGCGGTGCCTTGAATCCTGTGAGCCGGCTCATGTCCCACGCCCTACTCTATCTTGTCGGCGACCGGACCAACACTCTGGGGGGCGCAGCCAGCTGCCGGACATGGCCAGGGCGGAGCCGGGCGGGCGGGGAGTGGAACCGGACGAAGCTCCGTTTAAAGATCGTTGCGCTGCATGTAATAGTATGGATTTGAGGTTTTTAATTTGAGATAACCGGATGTGAAATTCATTTTTTGAGGCATGACCGGTCATTGTCTGCGGAGGTCTCTCCGGACGTTTGAAGGGTATGATTTGTCAAGTCCGGGTGTAGATGGGGTTGTTTGGATACAGGGAATTAGATGTGAGATTTTAGAAAACGAGTTTTTGGAGGATTTTTAGGAAAATCAGTTTTGGTTAGTTATTCTGTTAAGGTAAGTATACCCAGTACCTTGTTTGGATGGGAAAATTAGAAAAACACGATTTTGAGTTCTTCCCAAACAATACATGGAGGTGTGGTGCTTCGGCTTGCTCTTGGCACCTACACGCACAGCTGCGGACAACCACACCGTAAACTGCTCTCTCGCGAGGCCATCGCCGAGGCCACCAGGGTAATCGCGCTGCTCGCCTGATCGTGCTCGGCTTCGTTCGCCGGTGTCATGCATGTTGGCTCACGTTCCCATCAAAGAAGCACATACATGCAACTCACATACGGCAAGACACGAGTACACGACGTAAAGCACCTTGATTGATTCTCAAGCCGGGCATGCATGTAGCATCTAGCTAGCTGCTGGATCGATTGGCCGGTAACAACAGAGCACAACACACATGCTAGGGAGGCGTGACGACGACGTAGAAGCTGGAGCATATGGACGGCGACGATGGCTGTGAAACGGCCGATGGACACAACGGCAGCCAGCCCAAGTCTGCATCCGCCATTGAGGCGCTGGTCTAGGTGGAGCATCGCAACCTGCATGCTCCGGCTGCTTGGCCGAGATCGGCAACGACGTCTTTTGGCTTTGTCAAGCTGCTGTTGCGGCCGGCGGAGGTTACCATGATCAGCGCGTCGGACTTCGCTAATCTCCTGATGCATATAGAAAACGCGTTTGTACAAAAACGTCTATTAGTCGTTTTTGTATAAACTGGTTTTTTGGGTTTTTGGAAGACCCAGTTTAGTATATCCACGAGTTAGTTAGAGGATCCAAATAATGTTTTAGGTTGTTACACCAGAAATCGGGTTTAAGGACGGTCAGCGAGGGCGGGATCCGGCGGCGACAAGGAAGACCGGCGAGGGCGGGGACCGACGACGAGGACGGTCAGCGAGGGCGGGATCCGGCGGCGACAAGGAAGACCGGCGAGGGCGGGGACCGATGACCACCGGAGGGGACAGGAGGCGCGGCGCCGCGCTACCCCGAACAGGACTGCCCGAGGAAGAAGAAAGAGAGCAGGGGGCGATTCGTTTTTTTTTTTGATTGGATCCAATCGAACGGCTGTGCGCACATGGCATCGGGCGGTTGCGGTGCGACCTCACCGGCGCAGAGTGCTGCCCTTTTCACAAGGCTTCTCGCGAGCGCTCCGGCCAGCACCTTCTCCCTGAGAAAGCTCACGATGGCATTGTCACTCTGCTGCACGAAGCCGACCATGTAGGCGGCCCCGGCGAGCTGGACGCTCCGCCACCGCCGCATCCCGGCGTACTCGCGCAGGCCCGACTCGATCCTCTCCTTCTCCGTGCCAGCCTTCCTACCAAGGACGGCGTCGCCGAGGCATCTCGCCAGGATGACGCCGTCCTCGAGCGCCGAGCAGCCGCCCTGGCCCAGGTCCGGCGTCATCGGGTGCAGCGCGTCGCCGGCCACGCACACGTTCCCCTTGCTGATGCCCGCGAACACGAGCGAGAGCGGCGGCCGGAACCGCAGCGGCGTGGCGGGCGCGTCGTCGCTCCTCTCCACCAATTCCAGCGCCTCCGCGGGCACCTTGGAGCTCCTCAGCTTCGTCAGCACGTACTGCTTCATCTTGGTACCGCTCTCCTCGGCACCATCATCATCTGCACGTCAGTCAAGGCGAGACGGTAAATGGACATCCGTGGATCGCAGTCGCCATGGATGCAGAGAGTAGCTAGCTAGACTGACCGTCTTCGGAGGGAGACCATGTGTAGAACCAGTAGACGTCGGTGTCGTTGCAGGGGACGAAGCCGAAGCGGAAGCCGTTGCCAAAGAGCTGCAAGAACTTGGGCGGGAAGCCGTGGCCGTCGGGGTAACGCGCGAGGCCCCGCGTGGCGGAGCGCCCGGAGTGCGACGGCTTAGCGAGCCCCAGCCATCTGCCCACCATGGAGTTGATCCCGTCGCATCCGACCAGCACCTTCGCCCGGAGAGTCGAGCCGTCGGCGAGGTGGAGGGTCTTGGCACCGTCGCCGTGCTCGTCGATGGAGACGATCTTGGAGGAGTAGCGGATGGTGCCCGTCGGCAGCTCCGCCGCCAGGACCTGCAGCAGCACGTCGCGCCTGACGCAGCTGAACTCGTCCCTGAAGTCCACCTCCTTCGCTATCTCTCCCGTGGACGCCGACATGACGCGCAGCCCTTGGATGTGCAGGTGGAGCTTCCTGATCTGGTCGCCGACGCCGAGGGCGTCGAGCGCGCGGAAGGCGTTGGGCCACGTGGCGAAGGCGAACCCCGAGGCCCGGAGCGACGGGGACGACTCCAGCACCACGCTCCTCACCCCTTTCCTGTGCAGCCCGAGTGCGGCGGCGAGGCCGGCGAGCCCGGCGCCCACGATCACGATGTCCTCGCCGGACTCCTCTTGCCGCTGCATGCTTGCCGCCGGTGCGGAGAGCAACGAGGTCGAGGCCACGTAATCGGTGAACTTTCGGAAGAGAGCACCTGATTGTTTAACACGAATCAACCAATCTAGCTAGGCTGCTCCTCGGAATTGGAGTATTGGACATATATACAGCTCGACAGTGAACGGAGCTTGAGGATTGACGTCATTGCTGATTATATGGAGTAGGATTTTGTCGTTGCCATGAATGGCGTGCGCTAGGCTCGGCTCACTCGTCAGAGTCACTCGTGGTGGGTGCCCAAACTGAATTTGGATAGCCGGAAAAGAACAGCTCGCAGTACAGCAAACAAACATGTGATGGGAAATTCCTCTGCTCCCTATCACACACTCCACCACTATCTAGTCGATAGGCTGCGGGAGACACACTGATTGGCCTGGCTACTTTCTAGGCCACGATTTGAGGCGTTTTGGATCTCGGCCCCCATGAGGGCTGAATTTTTGAAAAATCCAAAAAAAACTGAAAAAATTATACAAGTAAACAAAGATGTGAGGTGTATGTGTGTAAAATTTCAGGATGAAGTACGCTGAAATGCAACCTATACAAAAAAAATTCATGGTTTAAGAAGATGAATAGTAGTATCATTTGCACAACCCTCATTTCTCATTTCTCATTTCAACATATTTCGTCATGTAAATTTACACATTTGTGCATTATGCCTTCATGTATGTCTGTGTTTTTTCAGATTTTTTTGCAGTGTAGAAATATGAATTTTCACGAATTTTGGATTTTGCATTCTGAGGCCTCCATGGTGCTCGGCCTCCAAAAGCAATTTCCGGCGATTTTTGCTCTATTTTTTTTCTACAATACGCACTAACGTGCGTACCATGCATTAAAGAAGGAGAGGGGGCCACCAAGGTCTAAATTTTACTATTACTCAAGTGAAATTTGATATAAATGCATGCCATTCTGCATCATTTCCTTGTTCTTTTGTTTTGTTTATTTTCGAAACTCTTATGTTTTATCTTTGGTGTTGTAAAGGTCTAAGAGCATCTTCACCATGAACCCTCGAACCATCCACACCCCGTCCGGATTGATCGGGTTGGACACATTTTGTCATCCAATGCGATGCCCCATCGGTTCATGGATCAATCCAGATGTCCGTTTCTGTAAACCGAAGGCAAACCAAGGGGCTTTGCGGGCGTCCGGATCGCTGCCACGCACGCGTCCGACACCCTGGTTCCCTCTCCCACGCGAAGCGGTTGCCGTGCATTCATGCCGGTCAGCGTCACTTCAGAGTGTCATCACCTCATTCATGTCGACCTAGAGCGGATGCGGCCTCTCACTGAAGCCGGCGTTGAAGCGACTTGCTGTCCGAGAGTGACGCTCACGCAGGGGCGGAGACAGGGAGGGGCGAGCAGGGGTCAGACCCCTGCCAATGACTCGCCTCCCTCAACAATTCGTGTAGATAGTATGTACTGTATCTTTACCTAACTAGTAAGCATGCACGTGCAACGCACGTATTTGCAGTGGCATGTTGGTGTGACAACCCTAAAAATGGTACCAGTTGAGTGCGCGAAGCGTGTTGGAGCAATGGATGTCGGGGAGGCAGCCCTATGAGCTTTCGAACTTCAACGACATGGACCTCGTGTCGTGTGGTGTTGCAACTATTACAGTCATGTGGAATGCTTATCTCCTCATTACCCCGGAAGAGTGCTTCATGACTTCTTTTTCGACAGTGATGGAAGATCAGCTTGTGCGGTTTTCCGCGATTAACCGAACAATCTTCTGCTTAATAATCAACAAAATATCAAAGCTTTAGCTTCATGTCTGAATTTATTTACTAATACTCGTTTACTCAACCAAATTCATATATATCGAAAAATGTGTTTTTTACCAGTAAAATATTTATTAACTTGTATAGATATTTTTTTGTGAGAAAACTTTTATAGATAGTATTTATACAAAAATCCTTTTAAAGCATCAGATGGTTATGACTATAAAAGAATGGATTTTTTTAGAAGAATGGGAGGTGAATCGGACATGGCCGGTAAAAAGAAGATACGGAGTATATACTTTTGGCTCGGATAATACCGCGATCACTCTTTTATTTTTTTGCAGGGAATACCGCGATCACTCACAGTCTCTCGCATCACTGTCTAGTACAGTATTAAGAAAAAACCACCAGTCATCCTCTCCACTGCCCCCTCACATTTCTTCTCTGGATAGTTTCCCATTCCCCATTCTATTCTATCCACAGTCAGCGTCCCTGGTCAGGCAGCCCCCTTCCCTTCGTCACAACCGCCGGCGCTCCCTGGTCAGGCCGCCCTCCTCTTCGTCATCAGCGTCGGCGCTCGCTGGCAGGCCGCCCCTCCCCTTCGAATGAGGTCGCGGAAGTGGCCGAGGAGGCCCTCCAGCTTGGCATGCTCGTGCCAGCGCTAGGCACCGTCGGATGCGGACGCGGAGGCGCGGACTCGCACGCCCTACTCTACCCCGCTCCTTCGAATCCGGCCCCGAAGTGCTCGAGGAGGCGGTCGAGCTCGTCATTGCTAAGAAAATAGATAATTTTTCGACTAATTTAATCCATAAGTAGATAACGAGCATGGCATTGACAGAACTAGGAACATACTGGTACTGATCTAAAAAAGCACGTACTACGCAAATAGTAGACAAATCTACACATGATGCTAGCACTGCTAATACAGAAATTATCAGGAGAGGGATAAACGCGGTATACCCTCCAGTAGGCCATGCAGAAGCCGCTGCCGCGGTGACAGCGGCCTTCTTGTCGGTCTCGGTCTTCTCGGCGGCGGCACGTTCGGCGTCGCTTGACATGGTGATGACGGAGACGGCGCAGACGTAGAGGAAGTAGTGGATCGGAGGCGAGCAGTCGCGTAGTCGCTTCCCAAAAACCTATTCACCTCTCTCCCGTACAGGAACCAGAGAGACGGAGTCGCCGGTCAACCTTGGTCAACCGTGTACGCGGTGAACGGGATGGAGTCGCCGGCGGCAGCAGCAGCAGAGGAACGACGTGGGCGTGGAGGCGGAGATGTGTTCTGTTTCGCAGCGGCTAGGTGAAAGAAAATGCGGTGCCCCCATGTTTGGTTTTGATAATTGATGACAATCTCTATGGACTAATGGTTGTCTTGAGTTATATTTGAAGGATTTGTCCATAGGCTTTTCTTGAAGTCCATGTGTTGGTTTCAAGGAGTTTTTGAGTTGACCAAGGTGCTATTAAGGAATTATCCAAAGATTGGTCATGCGAGTGTTGGGCTTATTGCAAGCATGTCTTGAAGAAGAAGGTTGTGTGATCATTCATGTTTACCTTCAAGACATCATCCAAATGAAGAGAGTTGCAAAGATTCAAGGTTGATTAAGACAAAGTCAAGAGTGAATCAAGTTGATCAACTCACAAAGCGTAGAAGATGTACCGAGAGGGATCAAGTGATCCCATGGTATGGTAAGCATTGTCCATTGCACTTTATGTACTAACCCATGGTCTATGTGAGAGTTGTATGTGGGGTTAGGTACGTATCCATGGGCTTGCGTCAAGAGGAAGATATCATACAACCCATGGAAAGGATGGCATCAAGTGGTGATCGTCATCAAGATTGCCGTGTGCAAGTTCAAGTGGAGCATCACGAAGAGATCAAGTGCTTGAATCTTGCCATTCATTGTGGTGTCAATGGACTTGTGAACATGTGCCGAAGAGTGGCTCACCCATAGTGAACTATGGGGGAGCAATCATCTAGTCTTCATCGAGCCAACGCAATCAAGAAAGGTGGTCCAACTTGAGGGAGTCAAGATCGTCTTCATCTAGCTCAAGTGGACCATGTGCAAGGCAAAGGTTTTCCCTTGATAGGTTTTCTATTTTACCGGTCTTGTGGTGGTAGTTGGGAGACCGAGTTATAGGATCGTTTGTCGTACTATCAAGGGGGGGGGGGGGCTCTCAAGTTGGTAGCTTGATCGTATCGTTAGTAGAGAGCTCAAACCATTGCATCCTTGCATCATGTTTCTTGGTTCTTGTTTGGTTATCTTTGTTAGTCTTAGAGCTTATGGTCATCTTGATGACAAGCTTGAGTTCATCGAAAACGGAGTTCGCATGCGTCTTCTATGATGTTTTCGGTGTTGGAGGTTTTACCGGTCTTATCCGATGAAGGGTTCTCACCATTTTATTATGGGACTTTTCTCATTTGCTTATTATTGATATTTCTATCAATATTGTGTTAGCCCATGTCGTTAGCTTTCCAACAAATTTGGTTTCGTTGAATTCGGAGTCCGTTTGCAAAAGTTGGGGCTATTTTGGTAAAGGTTGCAGCGGTACTACCGCGACTAGAGCGGATGTAATTTTTTACTACCACTCCAGAGCGGTACTACCGCGGCTCCTGAGCGGTAGTGCCGCTCCAGAGCAGTACTACCATGGCTCCTAAGCGGTAGTACCGCCCCGGACCAAAAACTCGTGTTTTCTCTCTCGATTGGGCTGTTTTGACCGTGCTAAGCGGTAGTACCGCTCCTCCAAGCGGTAGTACCGCTTGTGCACGACCTGAGCACATAACGGTTGGATTCGGGAGGTCCTATAAAAGGGGGTCTTCTTCCCCAATGAACCAAATCCTTTGAGCTCGTGTTCTTCCCCCATTGTTGACCTTCTTCGAGCTTGCTAACTCTCAATCCCTTCGTGGATTCTTGCTAGTTCTTGAGGGAAAAGAGAGAGGAGATCTAGATTCACGTTTCCACCAATCACTTTCTCCTCTAAGTGAGGGGAACCCCTTGGATCTAGATCTTGGAGTTCTTCGTGTTCTTCTTTCGTTCTTCCTCTTATTTTCCTCCCTAGCATTAGTTGCTTTGGTGGGATTTGGGAGAGAAGGACTTGGGCACTCCGTGTGCCTTTGCCATTGCATTTGGTGCATCGGTTTGAGTTCTCACATGATACGTGGAAGTTACAAGTTGAGAAGCTTATTACTCTTGGGTGCTTGGTGCCCTTGAGCTTGTTCCTCTTGGGTGCTTGGGTGCCCTAGACGGTTGGTGGTGTTCGAAG